CTAAGGGATTAAAAAAAAAAAAAAAAAAAGCTGAGGAGGGAGGTAACATCCTCCATGTCAGCTGGGTCTTTGTTTCCTTTCTCCTATGTATTGGTTTTGCAAAGTAACCCATTCCGGTTATAAATATTCCAGGTCTATCAAAACCACTTTTCTAACACAAAATTGTTTGAAGTAAGGTGTGATATCGTACACTTGGGATCCCAGCGACTCCAGAGGCCGAGGCAGGAGGATCACAAGTTGGAGGCCAGCCTGGGGCAACTCAACTAGACACTGTCTTAAAAAATAAAAACTTTAAAGGGGGGGGGGGGGGGCTAGGAATGTTGGTTATCGGGAAAGTGCCTGCCTAGCAGGTATGAGTCCCTGAGTTCAATCCCCAATACAGTTTCAAAAAAAGATTTTGTTAGAATACTTGTACATGCAGTTGGTCTGCTCTGCTGCTGCAGCTACCTAAATTTCAAAAGGAAGCCAAAATTCAAACCCTCATTTTACAGTGGATAAAACCCCGACCTTCTTCATAATATTTTTCAAGTTTATATCTGCTCCTCCGCCTGGAAAAAAAAATGGCATGCACTTTTGTTTCTTTTAATCCCTTTCTAGAAAAAGAAAAGGCAAAAAGCCCTCTTTCTCTTACAGGAGGAGGCAGCTAACCCCCAGACTCTAAGATACCAAAGGACTCTAGGATGATGTTTACGTTTCTGGAATGACACAAGTCCACTTCAGGCTGCTCGCTCGGCGCCTTTATTTCGGAGGCCATGTGTTCCTGACCCAGCGGCACCCACCCCGGGGCAAACGCACCGCCGTGCCAGGGGCACCCGGGAGGCACGGGGGGCACAGACTTTGCAAACTGGTGGCTGGGAGGGACAACTTTTCGGCTCGGGACAGAATGGTCGGCCCCGAGCTAAGGCGAGCGGGGCCGGGCAAGAGCGACGGCGCGACGGCGCGCCGGGCGGGCGGGCGGCGCGGGGCGCATTGTCCTCCCGCCGACGCCCCCGCGGCGCCGGGCACAGGAGCCGCTCGCTCGGCCGGCCTCCGGCGCTGGACGGCGGGGTGCTGCGAGCCGCCGCGTCCCCACTCGCACAGGTTGCCCGGCGCCCGCGGGGCGGACCGGGTGGACCGCCTCCCGGGGCAGCCCCGGCTCAGCCCCCAGCCCCAAACTCCGCGCCGCGACCCCGGCCCGCCGCGGCCCGGCCGGCCGCAGGAAGCCGCCCCGACGCCCGCCACGGCCCGGCGCCCACGGCTTTTGTTTTGGCCGCGACAAGAATAACGATCCCTGAGGAGGAGGCGCCGGGCTGCAGGAGGCTCCTCGGCAGGGTTTGGCGGAGCAGCCCCCGCAGCCGCGGAGCCTCCTGGTCCGGCGCTCTCGCCGCTGCCCTTCCCGCCCACCCAGTCCCGGGCACCGTCGCCGAGGGCTCACCTCAGATCCGGGCGCCGGGCTCCAAAGGGCTGCGGCGCCGGCCGTCCCTCAGGTACCCCGAGCGGCCGAGGACCGCCGGCGCGCGCCTCAGAGCGACCGCGAGCTTTGGCGAGCGCCGGGGCGCGCGGACCGGCAGCGAGAGCGCGCGCACTCACGGCGCAGGCGCGCCGCGCACGCTCGGCCGGGCCTCGGTTCTGGAGCGCGGCTGTGGAGCTGGTCGCGCGCGGGCTGTTCGCCTCGAGCTCAGCGACGACGCCAGCAGCTGTCCCGCACTGGCGCGGTGTTCCCAACTACGGAAGCGGTCTTCTGAGTGGCGCTCGGTCCTCCTTGCAAAGCGCGCCCTCCCCTGCTACAACGGCACCGCGACTCGCCAGCACCCAAGCCTGCGAGGCTGTCAATGCAAGAACACCAACACCGGCTCTGAGCGCCCGGGTGCAGACCTCGGGACTGGGGGGTCCGAAGGCGGGTCGGCTGTACCGAGGGGGGAACAGGGCGCAGGTAGCGGCGGGCACCTGGTCGGTTGCAGCCGTCAGGCTGACACACTGTGGCAGACAGGAACAGAATACTGGCCCGGGAGTAATTTGCATCCTCTTTGCCAAGACCCTATTAAACAGGTGAAGCTTGGGGCTAACTGGTGCTGTGCCCCATCTTTTGCTCTTTAGGAAAGGTCTCCGTTTTCTTTTTCTACGTAGAAGATTTGAGAACTAAAAAGCCCTTAGCGATCACCAACAGAGAATCTCTGTTTTTCAAATGATGAGATAAACGCCTAAAAAGGTTAGATGACTTATCCAAGCCACACGGTGTTGTTGTTAATATTTTCTTAGTTGTAGCTGGGCACAATACCTTTATTTATTTATTTATTTTTATGTGGTGCTCAGGATCGAACCCAGCGCGTCTCACGTGCTAGGCCAGCGCACCACCGCTGAGCCACAACCCCAGCCCCCATGCAGTGTTTTAATGACATTCAAAGCCGTGGCTGTTTTTCTTATTATTACACTTTACCTTTCTCTTCTTCCTCCTCACCCCTCTTCAACTTAAACTTCAGGGACATCCTTTTTGTTCTGTTGGTAGCACGCAGGACTAGTAATGTTGATCCTGTTGCACAAGTGAATGTACTCAACACTACTGATTAGTGTACCTAAAAAAACGGTTCAGATAACTTTTATGTATATTTTACAATTGTCTTAAAAGATGCTCAGATTTTAAGTAAACACTGAAGAGTTGAGCTGAGACATAATTTCCCATCAGAAGGTAATCTGTTTAGGGGATGTAGTTCATTGGTAGGGGCACCTACCTAGCATTGGGAGGCCCAGCCCGTCATAACAACAAAACTTCTGTGAACTGGCATAATAAATGAGACCTCCAACGACAATTTCCATTTCCTAATAAACACATAATTGTACAGCAACATTTCTTCTTTTTTTAAAGACACAGTGGTCCTTAGGCTGATTCTAGGTAAGCCAGCGTGTCCTGGGGAGCCAGCAGCACCTGTGCTGAGGGTGAGGCGGCAAGGCTGGAAAAACCTCTATGCCCGTTTTGTGTATTTCCAGATCCCTGTGGCTGAGGAACCTCTGCAGATGTGCTGCTAGGTGCATTTTTATTTGATTTACACATTATCCTGTAAAGACTGTCAGGCATAGGACACATCACAGCTCTCATTGGAAGGTGCGAATGATGTAGAAATGAATGTACCGACATGACTAAAAGTCCAAAATTTGTTTTTGGTGAAAAGCAAACAACAAGATATATAAATGATGATGGGGCTGGGAATGTGGCTCAAGTGATAGCACGCTCACCTAGCATGGATTCGATTCTCAGCACCACATAAAATAAAGATATTGTGTCCACCTAAAACTAAAAAATAAATATTAAAAAAAGATATATAAATGATGATGCCTTAAAAAATAACTAGTGTTAATACATGTCATTTATGAAGACTAACATATACATAATAATAAACAAGGAGGCTACACATTCATAACAATGAATTTCATGACTGTCTCTAGGCAGGCAGAGAGGAGAATGAGACCTGGAAATACACAAAGGACTTCTTGTTTGTTAAACACACACAAACCCAAAGTTAACATTTTAAAAAATCTCCATGGAGATATGTTATTTCTTATGAAAAAGTCTCTAAGGTATTAAGAATTGTAATACAAAAAAAAAAAAAGAGTACATGTATAATGGCAAAAAATAAAAAGTGTCTAAGGTTTTTTGTTTTTGTTTTTTTAATGATTGAGTTCTTCTGTGTAAAAGCAATGTTGAAGAACCACAGACATTGAGCTTTCTGTGTGTCACTATGAACACAGTAGAAATGGTGTGACTCACTCTCCTTTGGGGGAACAATAGACAGATGAGCTGCAGGAAGAAGGAGGCCCAGAAGGTTCTGTTGAGAGAAGAGACAAGAGGAACCTTTTGTCAGGGATAAAAATATTCAAATCCAACAGGGATAAAGTGAGATTCTATGTCCCATCTCGATTTCCTTCCATGTTGTAATAGAAAGTCTTTAATTAACATGTGGGAGCATCACATAGAGGCTCTGCACTCTTGACATTGTTAAAACTGGTCTCCTTCTGGAGGAACCTGTTTTGAAATCATAAATGTTAATTGGTAATGCATGGTAATTTAGTATTACATAGGCACACCTCCCCCAGGAGCCCCCACACACTCCCTAAAGGCTTTGTTTATTCATTTACATACAACCTGCTCATGTGGAAACCTCTACCTTGGAATTCAGACAACCTGGGTTCCAATTTCAGTTTGGCCACTTGCTGATCCTTTGTTAACTTGGGTTAAGCAACCACCTCCATGAGCTCAACTTACCTTTTTCTGCTATTTAAATTGGAGTCATACAAATGTTACCTATTTAAAAACTATGAAACACAATACAAATATAAGGTTTGTAACTTCCTTTGAGTTGGAGAAGAGTACATTATTTTAGGAAACAAAAATAGCCAGGAAAGTTGTTATTTTGTTTGTTTGCTTTGGCTTGAGGGAGGGGAGATTAATGCTGCCCATAACAACTGTTTTGCCTAGGCCAAAGAAGCTTGATTCTAAAATTTTGAACTTCATGGTACTTCATGGTATTCTACAGCTCACAGATGTTGGGACTGTGAGCCTTCTATTAGTTATTTACTGCTTTTTCAAGTTTCCTTATTAGATTTCTTTTTTTATCCATATATGCTCACTCCAGTCCTTGTTACAAGGTAGATAGTCAACAAATTTAAATAATTAAATTAGACCGGATTTTAAGATTTCCAAATTTAGAGTTATTGTTATTAAGGCATGCCATCTGCTGGTTCCCTGGTGTATCTGTCACTCAGCCTGAATTCATAATCCAATAAATATAAATTGCTGGGGGAGCACTTGTGGGTTTGCATGTTGGACAATTTCCCCCACGTCTTCCCATTTCCTGCTGCAGGTGCTATTCTTCCACCGAACCAGACGCAAATTCGTTTTCCTCCAACCCCATTTTACCTATTGGCCACTCTAAAAACCCGGCAAAGTGGAGTTCGCATTTCGGAACTCCGGAGTGACCAGAATAACATAACTGGGCATGCTCAGTGGGTAAGGGCTGATCTGGAACACAACAGCAGCACGTTTTGAATGAAGGTTTCCATGCCCCTGGTTTCCGAATTGCGTACCTTCCCAGGCGAGCGTAGCATCAGGATGTCGACGTAGCTCCACCTGCTTGGTGCCCACACTTTTTAATTTTATCTCGGTGCCCAATTTTGGAGCCAGCCCTCCTGGATGTCCCGGCCAATCAAGAGACCACACATTGTTGCCTAAGAGACCCCGGATGCCAGCGACAGAATTTATAGATGGTGATTGGACTAGGAAAGCAGGGAGGGGTGGGGGCTGGAAGGAGTCAAAGAAAAAGCTGACCTAGTGCAACTATGGCAACCCCAGCACTAGAGGCTTGAAGAGGGAGCCAGCTGAAAGAGGTGAGAGCAGCGGGCAGTGCATGGGAAAGATGGAGCCTGTCTTGGAGAGCTCTTGAGTCTCCCACAGGCCTTGTCGGTGCTCCTGGGGATTACATTTTCTTCTCACATTCCAGCTACAATTCAAGTGCCAGATGCTTCATACTTGTGAAATTAACTACTAATAATTACTTGCCGGTCGAGCACCAGCTCTTGGCAGTGTATTAAGAGTGCTTGCTTTGTTTTTAACTAAATGAGTATAAGGTGAATTCGGATACCCTATTACCTGACAACCTCCTGATAATATTTGAGATTGCCTAATGATGTTACAGTGTACAGTGGATGAATTGGGTGTTAGCAGAGAAACTCAATCCTATTCTGCTCTGTGAACTCCAAATACAAAGCTGGGAATCCCGAGTATTACCCCAGAACCCAGTTCATAATGTTCCAAGTTTCACTGTACATTTATTTCCACTAATTTTAATCCTCAAACCACTTTCCCCCCTCCCTGTTGTATTCATTCTTTCCATTGATTTAACAAATATTTATTGAGCATCTATTTCCTAGGGCTGTGGTTAGGATTCAGATGAGCGCTCTCAGAGATTCACATAAGAAGGGCTAGGGTTTTGCGGTGTTCTCAGGGTGGTTGGGTATTTGGTGTGTCTGGACAGAGTGCATGAAAGAAGGAAGGGATGAGGCTGAAAATGTAAGTTGAGGCACAGTCATAGTGGACCCAGACTTTCCTATTCTATCCTTGTTGGTGAGCCTACAAAGGTTTTTGAATTCATAAGTGACATCACTCATATTTTTAAAAAATCTCTAACAGTAGATCATGAGCTCTATTAAGACAGAAACTCTTTGTAAGCTTAGGACAGACCTCCTAAGTCTCTAGTGAAACTGTTAATAATGGCCATGGTGTGAAAAATGGCTATGGATATCAGATTGGAAGTGGACTCACCCTGGCTGTTAAACATGGGACTGGACCCATGCGTGGGCCATGAGGCCCCTAGGCCCTCTTTCTACATTTTTATTCCAAGAAATATTAAAGACAAATTCCCATTATAGGGAAAAGAGGTCACAAAGAAAAGCAACAGCAAGACTTATCTGTGGAAGGAGGAGAGGCAACTTCCTCTGTCTTATTGACAGAGCAGGACAATTGTTTTTGTGGATGTTATTTATTTATATAGGCTTCTGTCTTTTCAATAGTAGCCAGTAGTCTGTACTCTGAAATGTGCATGCCTGCAAGTATGCACATTGTCCGTGTTCTGGAATGGAAGGGAAAGGGAAAAATTGGAAAAGCATAATAATGAAAGATGAGGCAGGACTGTTGTCATTGAAAGGACTCTTCCCCTGGCCAGACCCACCTCCTAGAAACACACTCACCTCCAGCTGCTTTGAAGAAAGCTTGGTCCAGGTGATTTCCAGCTTCCCAGAGCCAGGAGAAAGAAAACAACCAGTGCAGACCCTTGGGGCATCACTGAGAAAAGTAGCTTTTTTTTTTTTTTTTTTCCTAATTTAGAAATGGTGTCCAGAATAAGTCAGATTGCTTCCTACCTAAAGTGGGAATAGAGGGAGTTTCTCAGTTTAGAGCAGGAGTTTTTAACCTAGACTAAGCAAAATTTTATGTTCATGGCATTTTTCTAAGGAGAGGATTCATAGCTCTCATTCTCAAAGACCTTTATGACTCTCAAAGAAGAACTCAAAATACCTGCTTTAAAAAGAAGAAAAGGGCCAGAGTTGTGTCTCAGCGGTAGAGCGCTCGCCTAGCACATGTGAGGCCCTGGGTTCGATCCTCAGCACCACATAAAAGTAAATTAATAAAAAATAGTTGTTGTGTCCAACTACAATAAAAAATAAAATAAAAATAAATAAAAAGAAGAAAGGTAGAACATCAATAACTATAACAAAAAGAAATATGTAATTTTTAGCTGGGCAGACCTAGACTCAGTGGCCATGCTTTGTACTTGTAATTTACCTGCTCACATGTATTTTTATTGCTTGCTGCTGATTAATAATACTGTAATGGAGTAACTTCATATGCCTTTTGTAACTTAGCTAAAAATATAGTGATTCAGATAATGAGCCAGTAGGGGCTGAGAAGAACCCAAGGATTCCTCTGAGGACACAAACACACAAACACATACATAGTGCTTTAATTAAAAGGAGGCAGATGTACACTAGACAACTAAAACCTACAGATTTCCCTGAATAAACTCAAGTCTGTCCATCTCCAAAGCCTCAACTTTGTTCATTACACCATCTGTTTCCAAAATATGTATGCATCAGCCTGGAAGTTTTGTGACTTGGATGTCAGACAGTTAAGAAGGAGGAGGAGAGTTACTATCACAGGGACAAGAATGAAGTGTTTACTATTGTACTTTTTTTTTTTTTTTTAGTTGTAGATGGACGCAATACCTTTATTTTATTTATCTTTATATGGTGCTGAGGATCAAACCAGGGCCCAACACATGTGAGATGAGCACTCTACCACCGAGCCACAACCCCAGCTCTGCACTCTGATTCTATATTTAAATATTTCTCTTTCTTAGCTAGGAGAGATTTTGTATGCCCAGCCCCCACTCTGTGATCCAATGAAAGCAGACTGAGACTGGCCTGGGCATGAAACCTGGCTCTAGCACTTGCTGTCTGTGTCACCTTGACTTCACCTGTGAAGTCACCTGTGTGTGACTTCACCTGTGAAATGAGCTAAAACCTACCACCTTACTAACTCATGAACTTACCCTGAGCATGCATGTAAAGTGCCTCACGTTTAAGATGCTCCCAGCGAGTGCTCTTCCCATCCATTATTCTGCCATCATTCCAAAATTACATGGCATTGGTATTTTTAATATTGTCAGGGTTATGTGTTTTGTTTATTCCAACAGGTATAGTCTTCTTTTTGGAAGAATATTCAGTTATTGCATGATGGCATTTGCACCTCCGAAGAATATAGAATGTCCTAAAATGCAGATAAAGATGAGTACCTGGACACCCCTCAACCACCAGGTTTTGAATAACCAGGTGAGTGGCCAGAGTATCTTCATCAGTTGGATCCATGTCTTAAAGAAAAAACTGGTAGTAAAATTTTGGTTATCATAATATAAACAGGGGCCAGGCCCAATCACACCTATAATCCTGTAATCCCATGTACTCAGAAGGCTGAGGCAAGAGGATCACAAGTTCAAGGTCAGCCTCAACAATGTAGCAAGACCCTGTCTCAAAATAAAAAATACGAAGAACTGGGGATGTAGCCCAGTGGTAAAGTACCCCTGGGTTCAACCCCAGCACTAATATATATAATACATATTACATATAATATATATTTATAGGTATATGTGTATAATGGATATATGTAAATTTATTTATGTGTTATATATTAGATATATGTATAATATATCTGTATAAATAGGAATTATTTAGTATTGTGTGATGGATGAAGTAAAGACAAACAAAGGATTTACTATAAAAAATTTATCAAGGCAGCGGAGCACAACAGACACTAGTATGGCAATTTGTAAATCAATGGATGTGTAACTGATGTGAATCTGCAATCTGTGTATGGGGTGAAGGTGGGAGTTCATAACCCACTAGAATCAAAGTGTGGAATATGATATGTCAAGAAATTTGTAATGTTTTGAACAACCCACAATAAAAAATTAAAAAAAAAAAAAAAAAAATTTATCAAGGGCTGGGGCTGTAGCTCAGTGGTAGAACACTTGCCTAGCACATGTGAGGCACTGGGTTCAATCCTTAAGCACCACATAAAAATAAACAAGTAAAATAAAGTCCCTCTTCAACCTCAAAATTTTTTTTATAAATTTATTGAAGCTTTGCTATGTGGGCTGAACTGGCAATAGACACAGAGTCCCTTGCTTAAGAAGAAAGTGGCTTTGATTTGTACTTTCTTGCAAAGTCGCTCCTGGTCTCTCTCATCTCAGTTGCCTTTTGTCTTCCATCACTGGTTCTCCTCTAGAACTACCAGAACTGGAGGAGAAGAGGAGAGGGTGGTCTTCAAAGAGTTCCCCAAAAGAGGTTTTCTTGCTAGAGTTGAGGTCACTGGGTAATGCTGCATATGAAATGTACCAAATGCATAAATTTTGACCTATTGCTCATACTATTCCAGTTCTCCTAAGAATATTTCCCATATACATTTTGGGGAAATTAGTAAAATGCACCAAACCAAGCATTGCAGCGGGTGGCTAGGGTGTGAGATTGGCCAGCCTCTGGGGGTATCCATTCCTGCTTCGGTGAGGAGTGAAAGTTACCAGTAGGTCTGTGAGCTCCTAATAGCAATCACTATATATAAGGACCACATCAGACAGTAGAACGAATCAGACATAACTTTCCTATGTTCATATATGAATACACAACCATGAAACTCCACATCATGTACAACCACAGAATGGGATCCTAATTAGAATAAATTATACTCCATGTATGTATAATATATCAAAATATACTCTACTATTATGTATATCTAAAAATAACAAATTTTAAAAAAAGAAAATAGCAGGGAGAATATTATGAGAGTGGATGGGGGAGGGGAGGGGTAAAGGAGAGTAATGGGGGGTTGGATATGGTCAAAGTACGTTACATGCTGTATGATATGCCACAAGGAAACCCATTATTCTGTATAATTAAAATGCACTAATAAAAAATGAAAAATAAATAAATTATGACCAAATAGTTAGCAGTAAAATACAATCAACCTTTATAAAACTGACCTCATTGTCTTGTTCCTACACACCAGTTCCTCCTCCTGAACACCGCTTTACATCATGTTATTCAGATCAAAAATCTTCCTTCTCCCTGTTGGGTCTGGGAGTTGGTTTTTCCCCCAATTTACAAGCTAAGAAATTAGCCTGTTGCTTATGAAGCAGATGACATTGCTATATCACAGTAAAAGAGACAGATTCCTGGGCCAGAGACAAAGAACATTACCCACAGCACAGCACTCAGGATGAGCAGCATGTTCCCCCTAGCTCTTTTGGTCAACCTCGTCCCACAGGGGTGATGCAGAGGGCCCGGATGCATGTCACGGTTGCAGTGGGTGATGCAGTGGGTGAGCGTTATAGTACGCATAAGCAAGCCTGCTCATCCCTCAGTGTTGCCTTCCTGCAATCCAACCTGGATTTGCAGGTGCTCAGGGCTTTGCATTCTTGGCATGGGCAAGACATTCAAGAGCAGCAGAGGCCCATGGAGAAGTGTCTACCATCTTGCCTCCACATCCGGTTCATCTTCAAGTCCTGTGAATCTTCCTCCTTGACTTCTCATTCAGGCACCTTTTCTCCATCCGCCTGTGAACCTCCAGCTCCACATTCTCAGATCAGATCCCGGGGATCCCTTGCCATATTGCAAGGGGTAATCCCCTAGCTGGTTTTACTACCTCTGTTCGTACCTACCAATCTTCTGTTGGGGTCCCAGGATGATCTTCCTAGAATACCAATCCTATTACATGAAACTGAAAATGGGCCCCACTCAAAAGGGTGACTTCCAATCCCCATGCATATCCTTTAGGCCCCTTCATAGACTAACTTCAGCTACCCTCCCGGCTCCACCCATCCTGCTCCTCCTCAGCTCTAATGCATCAGGCTGAGGTTCTCCCTTGTGTCTCCAGTGCCTGGGATGATCCTGGAGCACAGTAGGTAGAGCCAGCACAGATCCCTCCTGGTACCCTTTCATTGACTCTCCTCTTCTGATCCCATCATCGTCTTCCTTAGCCCAGAGTCAGCCCTTTACTTCTCTAACCCTGACAGATGTGCTAATCCCTCCAGCAAAGCCGCCTCTCAGTATTCTCTGCTCCTCTGACTTGAAACACGAACGATTTCTAAGAGATAGAAGAGCTGGGCAGGAATGGGAATAGTGAGAAATAAAATGAAGAGAGCCTAAAAAGGAAAAAGATAAGGAAATTGGGGTTTGGGGGTGCAAAAGAACCAAAAGGAAAGGCAGATAGAAAGGTTGATCCTGCTTTTATCTATAGCCATGAACACCAAACAAGAATGTTGAAAATCTTTTTCTTTCCCTGTAACAATTATTTACTGAGCACCTGTTTGCAACACTCTTGGTGCACCGACAGTTTATATAACAGCTTATCTGCTTTCCCCCCAAAACTTCAGTGTTTAATTTTGAAATCTGTTTTCCCATAGAATTGTGAAGGTTTTACTCACATGTGAAAAAGTGACTTGAATTGAAATACAAATTTGTTGGATGCCCTGATTTCCAGAAAATTTTCTTGAAAAATCAAGAGTCTTGATCAATGTAGCTGCCATGGAAAAGAAATTGATTTAATAGCCAAAAAACACCTGAATGGGGCTGAGGACATAGCTCAGTGGTAGAGCACTTGCCTAGCATGTATGAGGCACTGGGTTTGATTTATAAATAAATAAAATAAAGGTATTGTGTCTATCTACAACAAAACAAAACAAACAAAAACCTGAGTGCTTTTCACAGGTTGGGTAACTAGAGATATGGTTTTTTGGTTTGTTGTTGTTTTTTCTGGTGGCTCTAGGGATTGAATCCAGGGCCTAAAGAATGCTAGGGAAGTGCTCTACCACTGAACTATACTCCCAACCCCAGGAAGCAGATTCTGAGATGAACATTTAAAGATCACCTGCAGGGCAGGAGAAGGGAGGCAGAGAAAGATGTGGGGTTTGGGGCAAAGGAAGAAGGTAGGCTGGAATGTACCTCCACAAGGCCTCTATGACCCCATGGTATACCCTGAAGCCACCTGGTCACCCAGTGTTTTAGTCAGCTTTTTCACTGCTGTGACTAAAGGATCTGACCAGAACAACTAAAGAGGAGGAATAGTTTATTTGAGGTCTCACGGTTTCAGAGGTCTTATTCCATAGAAGGCTGGCTCCATTCCTCCAGGCTCTAGATGAGGCAGAATATCATGGTGGGAAAGGGTGGTGGAGGAAAGCAGCTCATATCATGGTGACCAGGAGGCAGAGAGAGAGACTCCACCCTCCAGATACAAATATATACCCCATAACTATGCCCCAATTCCCACCTTCTGCAGCCACACCCTACCACTTCACTTAATCCCATGAGGGATTAATTCACTAATTGGGTTAAAACTCTCACAACCCAATCGTTTCTCCTCTGAACCTTCTTGCAGTGTCTCACGTGTGAGCTTTTGGGAGAAACCTTACATCCAAATCATAAACCCAGAGTGATCTTACAATCCAGCAAGGGGGTCAGTCCTTCACACTTCCATACTGACCATTGAGTGGATGTTAGCTGCTCCCTCCTCTCAAGAAGGCCTGACCTCGGCAAGGCAGCTCTCTCAAGCTCATGGCTGTCAATCAACAGCCTCCCCCCAGGTGCAGGAATAAATCCTTCAGTCGTGGGGTGGAGTCACTACATCACAGCAAGTCTTACATTGCTTTATCTTGTTTTGTTAATGGATTTTGTCACATTTACTGATAATTTCTAGAGAAAACATTTGTTTTATTGTTTAGAACTACCCTGTTCCAAAAACTTATATTTTGGTTTAATTAGGTTCTAGTGTTGAGTAAAATTTTTCCTTTAAAAATTGTTGCACATGCTGAATGCAGTGGCACATGCCTGTAAATTTCAGAGACTCTGGAGGCTGAGGCAGAAGGATTACAAGTTTGAAGCCAGCCTCATCAACTCATCAACTTAGCAAGACCCTCACCAACTTAATAAGACCTTGTCTCAAAAAAAAAAAAAAAGTTCTGGGGATATAGCTGAGTGGTAAAGTGTCCTTGGGTTCAATCCCCAGTACCAAAAAAAAAAAAAAAAACCCCAAAGATAACTTTGCATGAGTGTAACACACACACACACACACACATACACACACACACATGTATATCAATGTGTATAGACGGTACATAGAATTTGTATATGATGAGCACGCCTGTAATCCCAGCAGCTTGGGAGGCTGAGGCAGGAGGATCATGGGTTCAAAGCCAACCTCAGCAAAACTGAGGTGCTAAGCAACCCACTGAGACCCTGTCTCTAAATAAAATACAAAATAAGGCTGGGGATATGGCTCAGTGGTTGGGTGCCCCTTAGTTCAATCCCCAGTACCCCCCCCCAAAAAAAAGATTTATATATGATTATACAAAAAAAAAAAAAAGGAATTGTATATGTCTATGATTCCCCAAAAAAGTTAGAAGGGTATTGGTGGCTAGAGGCGGGTGTCTGTAGAAGAGACCAGATTTCATTTGTTTACTTTTATGGTGCACTATGTTTCAAATTTTAATTTTAAAGTGAATACAAATAAAACAAAGAACAATGACTTTAGGAACTGAAAATGTGCTCCAGATCAGCTGTCCCAATAATTTCCTGCAGGCCTTGAGAAAGTCACTACCATTTCTGAACTCTGTCTCCTTTGTAAAATGAATGGTTTAGGTCAGGTGACCTCCAAGGTCCCTTTCATATCTAACATTCCGACTGTGTAAAAGGGATTAAAAATAGATGTCCAAGGACACGGTGGCCAAAAGGCAACCACACAGTAATTTCAAGGGGTTTTCTACACTTCAAAACCAGGACATTGCCACCAAAGATCAATGCAATCGTGAGATCCAAGTTCATTTTTGTTCGAGTCTTGTCTTCTATTCTGTGGTACAATGTGAAGTACATAACTATCTCTGACTAAAATAAGAGTCACAGGATTTTAACTTCACAGCAGGCTTTAAGCAGAGAGACTGAATTCAAATTTAGATGCCTTCAAGAAACAAAAATGCAGTAGATTACAAAGTAATGCAAGCATGAGAACTTTAAGTGGAGGAATGCTTTAAAAGTATGGACCTCTTTGCCAAACAATGTCATCATTAAAAATGATCCTTACTACTGACAAAAAGTAACATGCTGACAAATGGGTTGATTTGATTGGCTGTAGCAATCATTTCACTATGTACACCTTAAATATATACCATTGAAAGAAAGAAAAACAAGCGATCCACATTTATTTCTTTGTCTGCATTTCTTTTCTTTAATCCACATTTCTTTTTTTTTATTAAAAAATTTTTTTAAACCTGTACTTATTTATTTTTATGCGGTGCTGAGGATCAAATCCAGTGCCTCAAACATTCTAGGCAAGCACTCTATCACTGAGCCCCAATCCCAGCCCCATAATCCACATTTCTTTTAGAGACAATTTATACATGTAGTACATTACATGTTAAAACGGTTTTGTGAGAAAAGGCACCTTGTTGCCATCAATCAGCCATAATTTAGGAACCCTGAAATATCTCCCTCCTACGCTGTAATGATGTCACATGGTGAAATATGTAATTGCAGTGTCAACAGACTAAAATAACAACCGTGGGATTTTGACTTAACAGCAGGCTCTGGGTAAACTGTGATATAAACAGACTGCAGCATTCTGCATGAAAGGAAGATCCGTTTTAATACTTCCATTTTGCATAGACATTTTGTCTTCCAGCTCTTCAAAATGAAGAACCTGATTGCGAATCTTTGGAGTGAGGATTCGCTCCAAATTGGGGACCGTAAGACCATCAGCCCCTACCAAGGACCTGACAATGAAATGGTTAGCTCCAAATCATCTTCCTTGTCAAAGGTCATGTCAGAACCTGATCTGAGGTCTTTTGATTTCCAGTCTGGTGCTTCTCATCTACCCCTTCACGCCCACCAGTTTCGACTTGGGTGTAGACGCCTGAATGACTGGGTTTGCCCTGACCCTACTCATACAGTGCCTTTGCTTCAGTCAGAGTAACACTTCTACTCCCACCTCATTCCCTTCCTGCTGCATTTAAATTTTTTTTCTTTTCTCTTTCTTGTCTTTTTAAGTTAGTTGTAGATGGACCCAATACCTTTGTTTCGTTTATTTATTTTTTGTGGTGTTCAGTATCTAACCCAGTGCCTCACATGTGCTGGGCAAGTGCTCTGCCACTGAGCCCCAGCCCCAGCCCCCTGCTGCGTTTTTATAGACTATCCTGCCCCTCCCAGTGAGTGTCCTCTGCTTCCTATGAGCCACAACATTGGTGGACACCATGAGGGTGCATCCCAACCTCCTTTTCAAATCTCAGTTGTGGCTCAGAACCTACGCTTCTTCCCATTGTCAGACACAAGTTCATGGAGAATTTAGGGCTGGAATTCAGGATGGGGAAGACCCAAATTCTAGTGAGGGACCAAGTGTAGAGGGGAATTGAACAGAGTTTACAACCAGTAAATTTTAAAATATCTATGAAAATAACCTCTTTGGTCTTCAGCTTGTCCTTTCTAAAATAAGGAAATCTAACAAAAAGAGCTTTAGGATTTCTTTTAGCTCTGAAATGCTATGACTTCTGAAGCTCTCTGTGGTTATTCAGTTGGCTAGTCTAGGATCTGCTCTGGAACCTGCACCGGCTGGCTCTGTGGAGCATGCAGGAGAAAGGGGTTCTGGTGGGCTTGGGATCAGAGCCCACAGAGAGCACGTTCAAAAACTGTGGAGCTCAGTGCAGCATGCCTGGGGAGGGAGCTTGCTGGCAAGCTGGCCACCCTGGTGGCTTGGGTTGGGCAACAGGTGACCAATCTGGAAGAGTTCAGGATGTGCTGGAATCCAGATTTTTAAAAATCTCCTGTGTTCCATAGCTTCTCTTCTGTTTTTGTCTAGAAATTCTGAGTTTGTCTATTGCCCTTATTTGTCCTGGTGGCAGTTTATTGTGGGGAGGGATCTTCTTTTTCTTCTTCTAAATGTGTGAAGCGTCTACCTGTGATGTAGAGATACCCCAGACAGGTGCAAAAGCAGCATTTCACTGGTCCCCAGTCGGTTGTTGAAGCAGTTATTTCAGTTCCTGTTTCATATGCTCCTGGCAACCAGAGTTTGAAAGGAAAGGAAAGCATTATGGAGCCGTAAAACCCGCTCCTCGTCCTCCCCCATAAAAAGGGAAGAAATAGGTCTGAGCCGCCTCTCCAAGCAGGGACATTCTTGCAGTGCTGGAATTTAGGTAGTGCCAAGGAGAAGGGGAAAACATCCATCTGATTCTGAAAGCTGACAGAGGGTGTATGTGTTGGAGGGAGAGAGACATTCACATATGTTCATTACTGTCTCTTCCTCTTCTCAAACCCCCTCCTCTGCCAAACATACCCACATTAGTCTTCCCCTCCTCACTTGCTCAGATCCACATATGCACTGATGCTCAGAAAAACACCTAGACACCAACATATAAATACAGTCCCACTGTACTGCTACATCCATAAGGATATCCAGTCTCACAACCACATACATTCAGTTCAACAAACATGGCTGCTTGTACCACGCCATGGACAGCACTGCACGTTGGACATGGCAACATGAAGGAGGGAGGCATGGTTTCTATCCACACAGTGCGTAAAAATAAACCTCTACAGCTGAATATGCAGTCGCAAGCCCAGAGGTACCCAGAAATTACTAACCCTACAAACATAATAAGTACCGCGACACCCATTTATATGTGTACACACTGAAATATAAAATCAAAGCTGCTCATTCATAAATTTTATAAATTCTCACACCACTAGTGTTGATATGTTTTGGAGGGAGAGCACCATTTTTCCTTTTTTTTCCCCCTTTGTTAGTTTGTTTATCTCCTTTCACAAATTAAAATTGACTTCTCTTTATAATTCCATTTTTTTATTATTTCTCTTAAAGAACAATCATTCTTTTTTATGTATTTCACATGGAGAAATACATTGCCTATGTTAAAAATAAGTAAAGTACCCTTCCGGGAATGACACCGGATTCTTCATACTGAGTTGACGTAGTGAATACTTATTTACTGATCCTTCAATGATGCTGTTCTTGTAATGGATATTTTGAACCATGATATATGAAGTCACCCAATTCTCTCTTACCTATTGCAGGTATTTGAAGAAAGAAAAGCTCTGCTTGGAAAATGGGTAAGCATTTAAAACATGGCTATTTCTGCATTATCATCTGCTGTAGTCTGTAGTCTGTTCAGGCTGCTATAATAAAAACCATAGACTTAGTGCCTTGTAAACAACAGATGTTGATTTTTCTTAGTTCTGGGGCTTGAAGTCCAAGGTCAGGGTGCTGGCATATTCAGTGTCTGGTGAGTCTTCTCCAAGGCCAGCCATCTCGCTGTGTCCTGCTGTGGCAGAAAAGGGGAGAGAGCTCTCTGGGTTCTCTTTTATAAGAGCACTAATCCCCCTCATGAGGGCTCCACCCTTATGACCTAATCACCCCAAGGCTCCTGCCTCCTAATCCCGTCACACTGGAGTTTAGGATGTCAATATATAAATTTGAAGGACACAAATACTCAGTCTATGGCATTATCATAGAGCCCCAAGAATTCAGCCTGGACTTCATACGGCCGTGTGCATGCTCATTTCCTGAGAAGCATGACTGCTAGGGTTCAGTCAGGAGACAGGAATCATGCTATTTTAACAGACAGAATTTAATGAAAGGATAGATTTAAGAAATATTAGAAAATGGAAAACCTGAGAAGGGAGCGCTGAGTTTCCATGGTGATAGAGCTGGGGTACTACCAGCCACACTGATACCCCCAAGGGTTCAGAGGGAGGACCTCCAGCCCAAAGTTCTAAGGAATAGAGTAGCTGACTTCACAGCCAGCTGCTTCTGCTTGTGTGAGGGAGCATGACAGTGTTCAGGGGTGAAAAAACACCTGGACCCTGGAGTCAACTGCTACCATCAGGGCAAAGAGTCCAGATGATCCTCCCAGGAACAGCAAGCAAATGGAGAGGAGTGTGTCTCTTCTTCCTTAGTTGCCCCCTAGTCCCTCCCCACAGGCTGCACTTAGTGGCAGCTGGCTGTCAAAGAAGAAATATGGCTGCAGAGCCCCAGCCTCCTGTGCTCACAAAGGAGAATATAGACATTGGGGTTTGGGCCTGAGAGGAGGATGGTCCTTAGTAACCAGCACAGTTCACTCAGCACTCCACATCCTTTTATAGCCTCCACCTGTACTGCAACTTCACAAGTGAACTCTAACAACCTCGTGCTTTTGCCTACCAAAGTACAAATATCCTTCATCACTAATAAGAACTTTCTCATCTGTTACTCAAATGGGGAGACTGAGAATCCCAATGGTCATGGTCCATCCCTGGATCTATATATCTGGGCAATGTATGTTACTTGTCAAATTCCTCTACAGTCCCTCCTAAATGTTCTCTGCTACCCAGGAGAATTGAAAACATGTGGTCATACAAAAACTCACACAAAAATGTCCACAGCAGCAACATTCAGTACAGTCATAAAGTGTAAGTGGTCCAAATGTCCATCAATAGATGAATGAATAGATGAAATGTGGTGTGAGCACATGATGGGAATATTTATTCAGCTATAAAAAAAAGGAAATTCTGACACATATCACAACTTGGATGAATGTTGAAGACATTGTGCTAATTGAAATAAGCCAGTCACAAGAACAAAAGTGGAGTAGAGATCATCAGGGGATGGGGAGTTGGTGTTTAAGGGGCACAGAGTTCAGGATGATGAAAAAGTTCTGGAGAGGGTGATGGTTGCACAACAGCATATCTAATCTCACTGGACTGTACTCTTGTAAATGGTTAAAGGGGTAAATCTTAGATATATTTTAGCAAAACTAAAAAGTAAGGGTTAAAAAAAAAAGGAATGAAGCACTGATGCACGCTGCAACACGGATGGACTGTGTAAACATTTTACTGAGTGAAAGAAGCCAAACAGAGACAACATATGGTGTGTTTCCATTTATATGAAATGTCCATAATGGCAAATATTCAGAGACAGAAAGAGATATTAGCAGTTTCCAAGGAATAGGGGAAGAAGGACATGGAAAGTGACTGTAATGGGCCCGGGGTTTCTTTCTGGGGAATGAAATGCTCTGAGATTAGATTCTATGGAACGTGATTTATATTAAATTTTTAAAAGACCAAGACTCTGAGGTTCATTTGGCTAAAGACTAATGGAAAGTACTAGTTCTGGATCTTTTCTGTATTGTTCTGGAAACCCCCGTTGTAGGGGTATTTATTAAGTTTTTTAAAAAATCATACATTTTTAAAATTGTATACATAATATAATCCTCTGTAAGGATGCACATGAAAAGGGGTAATATCAATTTTCTCCAGGGAGGAGAATTTTGTATCTGGAACAGGATGGAAATGACTTGTTTCATTGAATAGCCTTTTATACCTTATGGTATTTTTTTTTTCTTTCAGTACTGGGGATTGAATCCAGGGGAACTCTGTCACCAAGCTTCACCCCAGCCCTGTTCATTTTGAGACAGGGGCTTGCTAAATAGCCCAGGCTGGCTTTGAACTCGCAATCCTCCTGCCTCAGCCTCCCAAGTAGCTGGAATTGCAGGAATGTACCACCACACTCAGCCTATACCTTATAATCACAAAATAATAGTAAAAAAATTCTCAAAATAATAAAATTTGGGGCTGGGGTTGTGGCTCAGTGGTAGAACTCTCCCCTAGCACGTGTAAGGTGCTGGGTTTGATCCTCAGCACCGCATAAAAATAAATAAGTAAAATAAAGGTATTGTGTCCACCTACAGCTAAAATTTTTTTAAATAATAATAGTAATAAAATTTCACCATAGTGAATCTTCAGATCATGTACAACCACAAGACTGGGATCCTAATTAGAATAAGATGTACTCTGTATTTGTTTAAATATGTCAAAATATACTCTCCTCTCATGTATAACTAAAAAGAACAAATAAAAAAAAAACTATAAGCAAAAATAAATAAATAAAATTTTACGTTAAAAATGTACCAAAAAGCCAGGCTGAGCTAGGAGGATTGTGAGTTCAAAGTCAGCCTCAGTAGCTTCAAGGCACTAAGCAACTCAGTGAGACCCTGTTTCTAAATAAAATACAAAATAAGGGTGGAGATGTGGCTTAGTGGTTTAGTGCCCCTGAGCTCAATCCCTGGTACATCCCCACCCCCCCCACCCCCGTCAAAAAATGTACTAAAAATTAAGAAATGAAAACATTTCAAAATTTAAAAACCTAATTGAATTTTTCTGTTCTATTTATGTTTTAAAAGTAATTTTGCATTTGTTTCCAACAATTTATAAAGGGACTTATTTAGAATGACCTAGTTTTGCACAGTTTTTCTACATTGATATAATCAGGGCTAATGTTCAGCCAATACTCTTGGTATGGTTGACCAGCTTCTGTCTATTTTGGTTGGTTGGTGGCATTGCCAGTTGTTAAATGTTTTTAATAATCATTCTGAATAAAACTCAAGGTCTTCAAACAACAACAACTTCCTCCTCCTCCTCCTCCTCCTCCTCCTCCTCCTCCTCCTCCCAGGGATTGAACCCAGGGGCACTTTAACCACTGAGTCACATCTCCAATCCCTTTTTTTTTTTTTTTTTAATTTAGAGACAGGGTCTCACTGAGTCACTTAGAGAGCCTCAATAAATTGCTGAGGCTGGCCATGAACTTGTGATCCTCCTGCCTCAGACTTTGGAGGTGCTGGTATTACAGGCATGCACCACCAGGGATGGTTTCTATCTTCTTTCTCATTGTATGTCCCTAGATGATTGCCAGGCATTTAATAATTATTTTCTGAATGAATAAATGATATTCAGTTATTTTTTCTTTTGTCCTACAGCAATCTTGTTCCTCAAATGCACTAAATCATGTTAGATAGGTACTCCCCCAAAGATACCAAATTTTAATTTAGTGTTTCTTGGGATTTTAATTGTAGGGATCAAGTTTTTATTTTAAAGTTTAATCTAGCATTAAAAGTAAAGTTGTTTTTAAAACCTGTGCAGAGATAAGACGTAATATGATTCTTATTTGATAACAGACAATCCAAAAGTATCGTATATTTGGATATCAGCTTTCACTTTTGTTCATGTGTGCACATGGTTCTGTCTGCTGTTTTGTACAGCAGCAAACAGAGTAAGAGAAACTAAAAGATCTCTGCATTACTGTGCCATGCTGCTCCTTAATCCCTCATCTTTCAAATCCTCTCTGCTCTTCAATCCCAGTTAGAGAAGGAAATTGCCTCTCAAATCTGCTGAAAATATCAACATGGAAGAATTTGCATTTAAAAGCCTCTTAGACTTTCTCTCAGTTTCTGATATGTTGTTAACCAAAATAATGGCAATATAAAAAATTGATAAAGTGGATGTGTACTTTGTATACGTCTTTTCTTTTTTTGGCCAACTTAGGCAAGCTCTCTACTACTGAGCAATATTGCATCCCTAATAAAGTGGATGATATCATTGCATCACTTTTAACTTGCTGGAAGCAACCATAATCAGAGTTAAAATTTAAAAAGAAACAGGGAACACTGTTTTGCACATTGTCTGATAGGTATAGGATGTAGTTTAGAGTCAGAGCACTTACCTGGCATGCAGAAGGCCCTGGGTTTGATCCCTAGCACCAGGAAAGAAGAAGAAAAAAGGAAGACAAAAAGATAGGATTAACACCTAGGACATATAAGGAGTCCCTGCTAATCAATTTTTTAAAAACCCATGAACAAAGTACAAATATCCCTACAAAATAAGAACAAGAATATACAAAAATAAGTAAATAGCCAATAAACACTAAAACTATTCTCTGTTTCACTGAAATCAGAGAAATGCAAACTAAAACAATGAAACCCCAATTCTCTCCCCCTTGCCTATGTAGCAAAACTTGAAGAGAGAGTTAATATCCAGTTTAAATAAGGAATCGCTGGGGAGCAGGAGGATGCTCTCAAATACAATTCAAGGGAATGTAAAATGGTAAAGAATATTTAGTTTGGGTGAAAGCTTTTTAAAGACAGTGTGATAGGACCTACTAAATTTTAAAAACATGTACCCTTTGAACCTGTAATTCCACTTTTATTTATCTGTAGTAGAAAAATATTCATGTGGGACTTGAAAAACATGTACCAGAATATTGGAGTATTTTTTTTTTTTTGTAAAGAATCTAAATGGTATCAGTAGGGCTGGGGATATTGCTCATTGGTAGAGCAGCACTTGCCTAGCATGCCCAAGGCCAAGGGTTCAATAAAAAAAAAAAAAAGAAGTTATCAGTAGTAAATAGAGGGCTGGGATGTGGGGTTAGTAGAAGAGCACTTGCCTAATATGCATAAAAATAAGTCCTGAGTTTGATCTCCAGTTCTGGGGGGGAGGGATTAAATAAAAGAAAAATAAGTGAATGGAGCAAATAGATTATGGCATATCTGAGATAGGGATTTAGGATAAAGAGAGAGAGAGAGAGAGAGACACTGAATCTTACGGGAAATGCCCACAAGCCATTGAGATGCACAAAGCACAGCTGTAAGTCTTGAGCTTAAGTGATGTGCCCTTGGCCCATGCCCTTGTAAAAGAGGACAATGTGCAAGCCAAGGAAAACTGGCTGGAAACCATGTGGCTCCACCCTGCCTCCACCTCTGCCCAGCCCTCTGTAAATGTTAACTCCTCACATTCTCCCTTGAGTCCTTACTCCAAAGCAGTCTTTTGAGACTGCCCCCTTCCCCCTCGAACGTGTATATATTTTCCTAAATAAACCTCAGTCTATGCCTTTGACTGGGATGTGCTGAAATTCTTTCCATCATATATGCCAAGAATACCACTGGTCCTGAGTCAAGTTCCTCTTCTCTCTGGGAACTCCTGGGACCCTTTTCAGGAGACATCTCTCTCCTGCAACATATTCATCCTACTGGGAATGAATGAGGAAACAATACATTCTGGAGTTCATTATACATTAGGGACATGTATGGCTATTCCGTAGTATTCCATGGAATGGGAAGGCTCTTATTTAATTGCTTTTTTTTTTTTTTTTGGTATGCAGTGATTGAACCCAGGGACACTTAACCACTGAGCTATATCCCCATCCCTTTTTATTTTTCATTTTTGAGACAGGTCTTTCTAAGTTTCTTAGAGCCCCATTAAATTGCTGATGCTGGCTCTGAACCTGTGATCCTCCTGCCTCAGCCTCTGAAGTAGCTAGGATTACAGGCATGCATCATGCCCAGCTAACTGCTTCTTCATTGAGTGGTGTGTGTGTGTGTGTGTGTGTGTGTGTGTGTGAGAGAGAGAGAGAGAGAGAGAGAGAGAGAGAGAGAGAGAGAGAGAATACATAAAAAGGCATGGATATCAAACTTCTGAAAGCTCGTTATGTCTGGGGAATGAAGTGAGATTTGATGAAGAGATGTGTTTACAAGTTTTATGTTTGATTTTACCAAACCTGTTTGAAACTTTAAAAACACAAACATTTTTATACTTTAATTGTGGGATTGAATTTTTTATAATAGGACTCGGAAACTCAACCAGAGTAAGATAGTCTAACCAAAACCCCCCAAATAACAACCCCCCCTTCACTCGGCTCCCTCCCCCGCCACATCCTTGCCTTCCAGGGTGAGATGGGTGGGACGACAGCCCCAGCAACTCTTCACCCCTTCGATCTGCAGCAAGAATCCTGTAACAGCTGCTCTAAAAATAGCAGGTTCACAGTTCTAGTGGAGTGGAGGGAAGCCCTGTAAAACAGCATTCTTTAGGAGTACATCTGAAGGGAGGCGCAGTAGAAGATGCTAGAAAGGGAGATTCACGCCTGCTTTCCTGTTGTGGGTGTTTTTACTGGAAGAGAGATGCAAGAACTGTGGGAGGTCATCAGATGCCTATACAATCGGCTCTGCCAAGGACCACCTAATTTTTGGATTATTCCAAGCACCTTCTAAAACCCAAACAGATCTCCCCTACTGTTAAGCATTCTTGAGTCACCTACCTACCTTGAATGGTAGGAGTTCAAGGAATGCAAATTAGTTTTCTATTAACCTAAACAAACACAATTAGAAAGGACTAACCCTCGAGGCAAAGAACACCTATCAAAACCAAATTTAAATGATGTTTGACCATTGTCACCAGGGAAATAAATGAGGAACCAGTGTGATTATCTTTTTAATCTCTAGAGCAAAGTGTTCACATTTTTAATAGATTTTTTCAGTATACATTTTATAAGCCTAATGTTCTGTTATAGTCATTTAAAATCACTGCTTCCATAACCTGAACTCATCCTCCACCGTGGGCACCAAGGAAAGCAGACAAGCAAACCTCAATCATCCGGAGAAATGAAGGAAGGAGACCAGGCAGAGAGCCACACAAAGGTTTATTTGTCTATAGAGAGGAGAGAGGCCCCGAGATGTTATGTTCGGGTGCTCAGCTTTTGTAGGGTAGGGGCTTGGAGGTGTAGCTGTGGCGATGGGATAGGCTCGGGGTGCTTAAGTGAGAGCTAGGAGGGTGGGAATAGCATGGGATTGGCTTAGGTGGATGGCACCTTGAGGTTTTCCAGAGCAAAGGGGTCGTGTCCTTCTGGGATTGGCTTAGGGTTATGGTACCATGGGGTAGGTCACTAATGGGGTTGGGAGGAGTTCCTGTAAGAGGAAGTACAGGAAAGCAAAGCTTAAGTGGAGGGTGACATTTAAAATGGCTGCTCGAATGTTAAATCAATACTCTATATATGTCTTCTTTTTACATTGTATCTTTACACCACTCTGGCACCCCACACCACTGTAGCTGTCACCTACAGTGACTCATGCACTGTTTTGAAATAATCCTCATGATAGCCCTTTATTTAGCTATAATTATTCTTAATGTATAAATGAGGAAATTTAGACTGAAATATTTCTAGTGAGTATTAGGGAGTAATATAAATTAAGAGTGAGACACCCAGTGTTCTCTCTTGTCAATCAATGCAAACTTAGAAACTAAAAGAACTTGGTTTGGGTTGTAGCTCAGCAGTAGAGCGCTCACCTTGCACGTGCAAGACCCTGGGTTCCATCCTCAGCACCACATAAAAATAAATAAGTGAAATAAAGATATTGTGTCCAACTACAATTAAAAAATAAATATTAAAAAAATAACTTGGTTTAGAGTCTTAAGAATTGCAATTCAGGAGTCATGGGTTCATATAGCTGTGAATCAGTGTTCTGAAGGAGGTGGGGAAGTAAGAGCTGATATGGATGGAAAACTCTTGAATCTATGACAAAGTAATTAAAATTATTTAAAGAGAAACTCCTGTTGATCTGGTCACAGTGCAAGTCTGCAGTTCCAGCTGCTCCAGAGAGTGGGAGAATCACTTGAGGCCAACATAGTGAGACCCCCCCCCCATCTCAAAAAAGGAGAGAAAAAGAGGAATGCTTATTGAAATTGAACAAGAATGCAAGGGAATACCCAAGGTGATGTTTCCCAGTCTGTGTCCAATACCTCAATGATGACAAATTCACACACACAGACACAATGCCAGGGCTACGTGACCAAGCTGTGACAGGTAGATAAAAGAAGCATGGCTTGGTGCCTCTGTAATCTCAGCCTTGTGGGAGCCTAAGGCAGCCTCAGCAATTAAGCAAGGCCCTATCTCAAAATTAAAATAAGTAATCAAAAGAATTTAAAGGGGGCTGGGGATGTGGCTCAAGCGGTAGCACGCTCGCCTGGCATGCGTGCGGCCCAGGTTCAATCCTCAGCACCACATACAAACAAAGATGTTGTGTCCGCCGAAAACTAAAAAATGAATATTAAAAAATTTTCTCTCTCTCTCTCTCTCAAAAAAAAAAAAAAAAAAAGAATTTAAAGGGCTGGGGAATAGACATCAGTGGTAAAGCGCCCCTAGGTTAAATCCCCAGTATTAATAAACAAACAAACAAATAAATAAGTGCATAAACCAAACAGGAATTCCATAAAACCAGAGTCCAGTGACCTCTGGCTATGTAGCTAGGGTTTCTGGGCACAGCTTTTTGCTATCAAAAGTTGAGGGGCCCATAGTTGATGTTCCAAATGATACCTTCCGACATGTAGAAGTCCTGACTTATTCAAGGTCCTCTGAATCTCTTCTGAAAATTCTTTCACTTTGGAAAGCTTTTAATTGGGCTTTTCCTGTATTTTCACACTCCCAAGCCCCCTTCACTTACCTCCAAGCCCACCATAATGTTTTACTCCCTCCTCTCATGTTGCACAGTTTGTTTAGCTGGTCCCCTTTTGTCTGGTGTTTGAGTTATCGCTGATTTATTGCAGTGATAGTAATTATATCATGAAATATTTTTTTTTGTAATTCTGACCATCCTAGGTCCTCACATAGTCAGTCTCTATGGAGTCACATAGCACTGCCTAAAAGTAATTTTAAAAAAAGGTAGTTTCAATCTTCATTTTGCCTCCCAAAGAAAAAGCATAGGTCCAGTTCAAAACTCATGGCAAGGATTGGGGATATAGTTCAGTTGGTAAAGTGCTTGCCTTGCATGCACAAGGTCCTGGGTTCAATCCCCAGCACCACACACACAAGAAAAACGACTCACTATAATCCTTGTCAAGTCTGCTTCTCGGTCCCTGATACTCCCCTAGTAACTACTATAGACACTATCAAAGCTGCTATGATCCCCATAATTCCCATCAAGCCAAAGCCTCGTAGCTCTGCTTCTATCTCCTCACACCTCCCCCTTGGCTCTCTTATTATAGATCAGTTCAGCTTCTCCTTCCTTCCCTGGCCCCAGCCATTCTGGTCTGGTATCTCTCCATTTATTTTTGTAAGAATCCATCCCAAAAGACCTGGAAAGAAGTCTCCCTTAGTGGGAGGTGGAGATATGGGTTGTGCAGAAACAGGGAACACTGCACACATGAATCAGTTTTATTCCTGTGGTATTTGTAGTGAGGCTCTAATTTTCTCATTTTATTCAAGGTTTTTTTTCCCCCATCTTTGAATTATAATCTCCAAAGTGAGATTCGTGGGTCACTGAACAGATCTATAATAGCAAATAGTTTTAATCAAGAAGTATTCCTACCAATTATCAAAATAAATCATATAGCTATAATGAAGTTGATTTTTCATAAGCCTTGAGAAAATAAACTTTTGCCTTATATGCCCTTTTAGGTAAGGCAGTATATTATATGATTACAACTCAAAGTCATTATAATGTCAGACTAAAGATAACTGCTGGGGCTGTAGCTCAGTGGTAGAGCTGCTTGCCTAGCAAGTGTGAGACACTGGCTTCGTAAAAATAAATAAATAAAAAGTTATCGTGTCTATCCACAACTAAAAATATTTATAAGAAGATAACTGCTAAATATCTATATGTGAAATATAATGATATGCAAAAATTCAACTAGCCCAACTTCCCAATTTTCTCTTCTGCAGTGAGTTAGGAAAGAAAAGAGAGGTTCAGACTTTGAGTGAAGTGGTCCCTCAGCTGGTGGATGCTCTTCCCTCAGAGCCTTTCTTTTGGTTTTCAGTAATTCCCATGTTCTCATCTTGGTCCACTGCTCGTCTTGGGACTGGTTTAGGGTAATCTCTGGATTCTTTGGTTTTTTCCCCTCGGTACTCTTTGTTCCAGGCCCTACCTTTACTCTCCAACCATATCAGTTAATTCACACATTAGTGAGAATTTAACCCAACATACTCCACTCACCAGGGCTCTTGGCCTGTTATACCTTATCTCTAATTGTGATTTCAAGGGTCCTGGAGTTTTAAGCACTGATGAGCTAATGTAGGAATTATTTGGAGGGAGAGAAGCTGCCCAGGCACCTTTTCTTGGAATTGTATTTTATACGTATATATTGTTTCAGCGTCTGCACATGGTTAGCTTACTATCCTTATGCAATTCAAGGGCAGAGGAGCACTTCTGAGTACACACGCTGGCCATGCACGTGGTCATATATATAAATGTGGGAAAGAACAGGTCGGTGGCAAACATGGAATTTATTGACCTGGGAAGAAATACATGATATACATGGGAAGTAAATGACTAAGCTCATCTTCTATGCCACTCTCATTTCTTCCTCGTAATAAAGATCTACTATCAGACCAAATTGGGAGGTTTCCATGTACGTTTTGTTTTTCCAGTTTGACAAATGGACAGACTCTCAGCGGAGAAGAATCCTCACAGGTCTGTTGGAACGCTGCTCGCTGTCACAACAAAAGTTCTGCTGTCGAAAGCTTCAGGAAAAAATTCCAGCAGAAGCCCTGGACTTCACCACCAAGCTTCCTAGGGTGTTATCCATATATATCTTTTCCTTCCTTGACCCCCGGAGCCTTTGTCGTTGTGCACAGGTAAAGGCAAAGAAATGGCAGACGGCATTTTCTAACGTTAGCCTCCAGAGGCTCTAAAACTAGAATAACTTAAGGACGAAACCCACATGTACACGCATAGAACCAAGCCACAAGCTGGGTGTGGTGGCACATGCCTATAATTCCAGCCACTTGGGAGGCTGGGCCAGGAGGATTGCAAGTTCAAGGCCAGCATCAGCAACTTAATGAGGCCCTAAGCAATTTAGTGAGACTCTGTCTCAAAATAAAAAATAAAAAGGGCTAGAGATGTGGTTCATTGGCTAAGTGCCCTGGGTTCAATCCCTGGTACCAAGGGGGAAAAAACACAAAAAACGAGCAACAGATGCTTAGTCTTTTTTTTTTTTAAATATATTTTTAGTTGTAGTTGGACACAATACCTTTATTTTATTTATTTATTTTTATGTGGTGCTGAGGATCGAACCCAGGGCCTTGCACATGTGAGGCAAACAGTTTACCACTGAGCTACAGCTACAGCCCCTAGATGCTTAGTCTTTATAGTTTGCATGATCCTCTGCCTTATTTGAGTCCAACTCTGTATTTAGTGCTCAAAATAGAGAACAAAGTATAAGTCATCATTAGTGTCCACAAAAAAGTATCAGGGGCTGGGGTTGTGGCTCAGTGGTAGAGTGCTTGCCTAGCAGGTATGAGGCATTGGGTTGGATTCTCAGACCATATACACACAAAAAGTAAAACAAAGTTATAAAAAAAATCACATTAAAAAAAAAAGTATAGTTGGGGAGATACATACACATCTAAGAAATGGTCTCTCAACAGGAAAGTCTTTTAATCCACAGTATACAACTATAATAAAATCCTAAATTGTATATTGAAGGCCATCCATGAAGATAAAAGTGCAAAATAAGGTGCTCGTGAGATAAGACAAAAGAGTATGAGACTGCCAGGCACAGTGGCACATGCCTGGATCTCATAGGCTTAAGAGGCTGATTCTGGAGGATCACAAGTTCAAAGCCAGCCTTAGCAACTTAGCAAGTGCTAAGCAACTCAGTGAGACTCTGTCTCTAAATAACATATAAAAAGGGCTGGAGATGTGGCTGAGTGGTTGAGTGCCCCCAGGTTCAATCCCCAGTAAAAACAAAAACAAAAAAAAACAGAGTATGAGACTCAAAGAGACCCAAGTGGGCAAGTGTGCTCACAGAAGCCTTGGAAAAGGAGCTGGCCATCATTTTCTTGCAGGTAATTCCATAGTGTATTAAAGCAAAGTTAAATTAATTAAGATGTAAAATGGACAGTTATTTGTTGAGCCTTTTCATAGAGTTTAGTAAAACTAGAAAGTACCTACTACTATTCACTCATAGATGTGTAATATGTTAATTTTAGTTCTTAAAATTAAGAAAATAAATGCATCAAGAAAGATGTATTATTCAATAAATAGTGTTGAGACACTTGGGCAGGATCTAGAAAACCAATAGAATAAAAGATTTATATGACACCAAAGGAAACCATTCCAGTACTCAGAGAAAATACCTGGAAGGAGGCCTTTGTGAGTATTCTATAATGTCCAGAGGCCTTAAGGAAATGTCTGCTTCAGTCTTGCTTTATGCATTTTATGTTGTAAACAGGAATGGAAAAAGCAAGACTTTAAATTGTGGCTATAAAATTTACTGCAAATAAAGCTAATTTCTTATTTTTTAAAAGAATTCCTACCAATTGCTGGGTGTGGTGGCACACACCTGTAATCCCAGCTGAGGCAGGAGGATGGTGAGTTCCATGTCTCAAAGTAAAACTTTAAAAAGGGCTGGGAATGTAGCTCAGTGAAGCCCTGGGTTCAATCCTCAGTATTGAAAAAAAAAATTCCCATAAGTCTGTATTAAAGAAAAAAAAAAAGAGTAACCACCCAGCAGAAGAAAAATGAGCAAAGAAAAATCATCAAGTGGTTCACAGCAAAATAAATGCACCAGTAGAGGAGAGGAAGGGGATGGAGAGGGAGGGAGAAGGGGAGGGCTGGGGGAAGAACTAGGGAATGAAGTCTACCAAATTACAAGTGCAATATGTCTGTTTACAGATACACCACAAGAAGTCACGTGTGTGTGTGTGTGTATGTGTATGTGTGTGATGCACTAATTAAAATAATGATAACAATACTAGACAGGATCAGTTAAGTAAGCGTATGGGGAGGAAGGAGGAGAGGGAAAGGAAAGTTACCAGGGAATGAGATTGATCAAATTATGTAATATGCCTGTACAATATGGCACAATGAATCCCAGTATGATGCATAATTATAATGCACCAATAAAATTTTTTAAAACTCTTCTACCAAAAATATATAAAGAAATGCAGATGTCTCTGCCGTAGGTGGGATGCTGAGCCTCATTATGACAGGCCATTTTCATCACTCAGATTGGCTGAGCTTTACTTTTTTAAATAATATTCTATATTAGTAAGGGTGTGAGAAAACAAGTATTTTATATATTGTGTGTCGATAAAATGGTACAGTGTCCAGTGGTACAATGGAGAACAACCTGCTAGTATTATATTTTAAAAATAAAATTCCTGGGGCTGTGATGTGGCTCAAGCGGTAATGCGCTCACCTGGCATGCACGGGACGCTGGTTTCCATCCTCAGCACCACATAAAATAAAGATGTTGTGTCCACCAAAAACTGAAAAATAAATATTAAAAATAAAATAAAATTCCTTTTATCCTACCAGTTCCACTTCGTGGACTTTGTCTGATGGGTGTGCTTCAACATGTATGAAAATCATTTCTGTTTAAATACCATTGTGGCATTGTTTGTCATAGCAAAAGGCTGGAATCAACAGAAAGGCCCACCAGTGGGGCACTGGGTAAATAAGTTGCAATGATCTCCAAGGTAGGTTATCAGCAAAAAAAAAAGGGGGGGGGGATGGGGAAGCACAGCTGTTAGTTCTGCCATTTTGGAAAGAAAAAGTATAGATATCTGTTTATATGTGCCTAAACTATTTCTACAACAACATACAACAACTGTCTACAGTGGTTAAATCCAGGGCTGAGAATGAGTGGCTAGAGGACAGGGATGTGTGAGACACTGACTTTTCACTCTGTGTCCGTTTGTATCTTTGGGTTTGGTATTACTGTACACACATAACCTATTCTAAAATGAAATAATTTTTTAAAAAGAGCATAGCAATCTTTTTTTTTTTTTTTTTTTGGTACTGGGAATGGAACCCAGGAAGCTCTTGACCACTGAGCATATCCCCAGCCCTTTTTATTTTTTTATTTCTGACACAGGGTTAGAGCCTCTCTGAATTGCTGAAGCTGGCCTGCTACTTGCTATCCTCTCAGCCTCTTGAGTTGCTGGGATTACAGGTGTGTACCACCATGCCCAACTCAAGCATAGCAATCTAAATGTCTAAGAACAAAGGACATCATACAGCCACATGATGAACTATTACGCAGCATTAGAAAAAATGTCATAAAAGAACAGAGATGCCGTGATATTTTAAATAAAGAAAACAAATTGTATATGGAGAATTTCCAAGTTTTGTTCATCATGCCTCAAAAAAAAAAAAAAAACTGAAAGGGAAAAAATTCTACTAGGTTGTTAATAATGATAGTCTCTGACTCATGGCACCATAGGTGTTGCTTTTCTTTAAGCTTCTCAGAATTTTCCAAGTTTCCCACAAAGAAAGCATTATCAATAGAGGAAATGCTATTTGGATTAGCTGATCCTCTTGTCTCCATGCACTATATGCCTATCTTGCAGGATCTCAGTGTATTTTATTCCTCTACTGACACACAACATTGTCCTTCAGCTAGATTTAAAGTAAAAGATAGTCATTGCACCAAAATGAGCTTTGAGCTGTTTTAAAAAGATGGGGCTGGGCTATGTGATGGAGAGATGGGTCTTGATAGTTTTGAAAGCTCCTACATTTTTTTTTTTTTTTAGTTGTCAATGGATCTTTATTTTATTTATTTATTTATATGTGGTGCTGAGAATCGAGCCAGTGCTAGGCAAGTGCTCTACCCATGAGCCACCACCCCAGCCCAAAGCTCCTACCTTTTAACTCTCCTCATTTCTTTCTGCCTTTGGGTGGTGGGAGGAAGAAAGGAGAGAGAGAGAGGGAAACAAAAGACAACTTGGAAACAAACACAAAACAACTCAAGTATCTAGGTCAAAAGAAGATCTAAGGAAAACAGGGTGGGGGAGTAGTAATGGAGGGCTTTCTCTCCCCACCCCCACCCTGCAAACTGTCCATTAAATTCCAAGTTATTTGCCACATGAAGATTTAGGTGAGCTACATCCCCAGTCCTTTTTTTATTTTATTTTATTTTTTTCAGACAGGGTCTCGCTGAATTACTGAGGGTCTCCCTGAGTAGCAGAGGCTGCAGTCCTCTTGTTTCAGCCTCCCTGGTTGCTGAGATTACAGGCTTGTGCCATTGTACCTGGCCCTTCATGTAACCTTCATTAGGAGCTTCAGGAACCATTAGGAAGTCTCAAAGTCTACTTGAGCCTCAGTTTCCTCTTTTGCCATGAGAGTTATAATTGTACTTACCTCCCTAGATTGCTATAAGGATGGTTAATAGTGCTCAGTAAGTACAAGTGGACTCTGATTCTAAGTCTGAATTAGTTTTAAAAGTAATCCTCCTGCCTGGACAGGAAGCACTCCTGATAGGAGGTAATTATTTAACCTGTGATTTGGAAGAAAATGACAAAAAAAAAAAAATTAGGTAAGCTAGAGAAAGCGCAAGTGTAAACTGAACAGGTTGGTTGTTTTTGTTTCTCATTGTCCTTGTTTTCCCAGGTGAGCTGGCACTGGAAGAACTTAGCTGAACTGGACCAGCTCTGGATGCTAAAATGCTTACGGTTTAACTGGTACATCAATTTCTCTCCAACTCCCTTTGAGCAGGGGATATGGAAGAAGCACTATATTCTAATGGTGAAAAAACTTCATGTTACCAAGCCCAAGGTAAACTTGAGATGAAGAGCACCAAACTGTTTTCCATATTTTTCCTTTTTTTTTTGGGGGGGGGGTGGTACTGGGGATTGAACCCAGGGGCACTTTACCACTGAGCCACATCCCCAGCCCTTTTTATTTTTATTTTGACACAGAGTCTCAATAAGTTGCTTAGGACCTCCAAATTGCTGAGGCTGCCTTTGAACTTACGATCCTCCTCCATCAGCTTCCAGAGTTGCTGGGATCACAGTGTTGTGGGTTTTTCACAGAGATCACAGGGGCTCTCAGCAGGAAGCAGTGTTTATTAGTGCTGGCATTGGCCCAGCAGATTCTCATCCAAAGGCTGAGCCCCAAGCACAGTGAGGCGTAGCCTTATATACTCTGTTAGTCCTTCCCTTTATGTTAGCCCCTTTGTCTCCCCTATAGCATAACAAACATTCTGATTGGGTATTCTATACTCTAGAGTTGTGAAAATTGTGTTGTAGGCACACATAGACACTGACTGTGTTATGTTACCTTCCCTTTGTTCTGGGATGGCTCTTACTACGTACAACAGGTGTGTGCTTCCATGCCAGGCTCCCCAATATTTTTTTAACTTAAAAAATTTTATTATTATATGAATTCCTTTTATAAATTTGACTTATATGAAAGATCTAGAAAAGGCAAATATATAAATACTGAAAGCTTGTTAGTTATCTTGGTTTGGAAAGTATCTACAAATAGGTATATGAGATTTTGTTTTTGTGGTGATGAAAATGATTTAAAATAAGATGATGGGGATGATTGCACAAGTATGTAAATATAACAAAAATCATTGAATGTGTACTTAAAGTGATGAATTTTATAGTATATGAATTACATTAAATAGAATATAAACCATTGTATATACTTTGTTTTTAACCTTCAGTTAAAATTAACTTTAAATTAAAACTATTATTGTTAAATTAATTTTAATAAATTAATTTAATGTTGTCATATGAAGTTTTCTAGTTCTGTACAGCTGCTTGAGTTGAAATATGTTTCACTCTGAGGCACTCAAGGACACACTGTAAATGGAATCCAGTGTAGTTTACAAATTCCTTAAGGTCCTCTATTTGAATTTGAATTTTTGGCTGCCTGATGCATTTGGAAGCTTGCTATTCTGCTTTTTCTACTATGTACAACATTTATAATAAAGTTCCTGAATCATTTAAAAAATTATTATTAGTTATAGATGGACACATTGCCTTTATTTTATTTATTTATTTTTATGTGGTGCTGAGGCTCAAACCCAGGGCTTCATACTTGCTAGGCAAGCGCTCTACCACTGACCTACACCCCCAGCCCTGAAGTTTATTTGGTATCATTTGTAAGAGCAAGTTTTCTAATAAATTGATCATTAGGGAAGAGCACAATGGCCTATTAAAGTTGTCTTTAATCCAGAAAGTAAGCAATGTAGACATTTATTTTTATGAGTAACTTTCATTACTCATAAAAAGTAAGTAAGGCTGGATATGATGGTGCACACATATAATCCCAGTGACTCAGGAGGCTGAGGCAGGAGGATCATGGGTTCAAAGCCAGCCTCAGCAACTTAGAGAGGCCCCAAGCAACTCAGTGAGGCCCTGCCTCTAAATAAAATACAAAATAGGGCTGGGGATGTGGCTCAGTGGTCAAGTGCCCCTGAGTTTAATCCCTGGTACCCCCTCCCCCCAAAATCACCATACCTATGTTCCTTTCCTCATCAAGCTTTCTGAAATCCTCCATTTTGGAGCAGGGAGTGACATTAAATAGTGGAACTCAGGCTGCTCTGTGAGAAGAGAAAAGTGATTAACCATCTAGTAGAGTGAAAAGGGCTTTTGAGTCTTACATGTAAAAAGAGCACAGTTTTGTCTTCAGGAATAACTCCACAAAATATTTATGCATAACTATGCTTCAAAATAATGAATAGTTTGGGTGCAAGAAAATTGCCACCTCTCTGCTTGGTATTACATTTCTGCAGGGAATGCTTTGTTCTATGAAACTTAATTTTTTTTGTTAAAGAAATAGTACTAAATCAGAAGTAGGGAATGCTTTGTTCTGTGAATTTTTTTTTTAAATAAACAGTACTAAATTAGAAAGACTGGGGGGGAGTTCAGAAAATCAACTAATTAACTTGGATTGTTCAATTAAAGAGACTTAAAGCTGAAAGAAGTTCTAAAGTTAATAAGATTGTCTGTGAAGTTAACTCCCAGCACTGTACTTACATAACACATACTGTACTTGCATAATCTGTTTAATTCCCTGCTTCAGCCCTGAGCATGGCAGCTTGGTGAGCTCCCGCAGAGATTTTGAAAGCAGGTTAGAATCATATGGGGATGGTTAATAATAGTTTCACCAACCTTAAAATGAGAAGGATCCTTAAAACTGTCTGTGAGACTACCTATGCTAGAAAACTTAATTTCTTTTTTTTTTAATTTTTTAGTTGTAGATGGACAGAATGCTTTTATTTTATTTGTTTATTTTTATGTGGTGCTAAGGATCAAACCCAGTGCCTCAAACATGCTAGGCAAGCACTCCGCCACTGAGCTACAGCCCCAGCCCCCTAGAAAACTTAATTTCCAGAAGAGTAAATCAAACCCAAAGTAAATACAAGGAAGAGATAATAAAGAACTGGAATGAATGAAATTGAAAATAGACAATAGAAAAAAATCAACAAAAATCCAAGCTGGTTCTCACAAACATAAATGGAATCGATACATTTCTAGCTAGATTAATCAAGAAAAAATGAGAAAACACAAATTACTAGGATCAAGGAAGGAAAGACAGAACACCACGACAGGTCCTACAAACATTAAAAGTATAACAAGGGATTATTTTAAAAACCTTCAGGTCACTAAATTCACCAACCTCGATGAAACGGGTGAAATCCTTGGAAAATGCATATAACCCTGACTCAATAAGTAATAGAGGGCTGGGGTTGTAGCTCAGTGGCAGAGCACTTGCCTAGCATGTGTGAGGCACTGGGTTCCATCCTCAGCACCTCATAAAAATAAATAAAATAAATGTATTCAGTTCATATACATCTAAAAACTTAAAAAAAGTAATAGAAAACACAAATAAATACAAATAAACCTATATATTGATTTAATGGTATGACTCTACTTTGTGAACAACCAGAGGCATCACAAATTGTGCTCTATGTGTGTACTATGAATTGAGATGCATTCTGCTGTAATTTCTGACAAATTAGAGAAAATAAATAAATTAAAAAATAAATAAATAAAATTGAATTCATAATTGTAAAACTTTCCACAAAACTCCAGATCAGAGAGCTCCACTAGTGAATTGTCTCAAACAAATAAGAAATGAGACCAATTCAATGTAGCCTCTTTCAGAAAACAGAGGATGAGGGAAAGCATTCAACCCTTACACCAAAACCAAAATCTATAAGAGAAACAGAAATGCAGATTGATAGTTCAGTTCCATGAACACAGACACAAAGATCCTTCCAAGATATCAACAAATTAAATCCAGGCCTCACAAAAAGAAGAATACCTGAAAGCCAAGTGGGATATGTCCATGGAAAGTCAGGTTCCTAACAATAAAGAAAAATGACTAGTGTAATTCACAGAATAAAAATGATCATTTTAATACATCATTTAATAAAATTCAACCTCCATTTATCATGAAGAAATAGAGAACATATCATGAAGAAATAGTCAACATATTGAATAGATATGAGATATTGATATTTTTTCATATATATGTTGACTATTCATATTTCTTCTTCTGTGAAGTGCCTGTTCAGTCCCTTTGCCCATTTATTGATTGGATTATTATTATTGTTGTTGTTGTTGTTATTTTTGGTGTTAAGTTTTTTTGAGTTCTTTATATCCCCTGGAAACTAATGGGACAAAGGTGACAAAGATCTTCTCCCATTCTGCAATCCCCAAAAAAACAAATGCAGAATGTTTTCTCTGATATAAGAGGCTGTTCATAGTGGGGTTGTGGGGGGAGCATGGGAGAATTAGACGAACTCTAGATAGGGCAGAGGGGAGGGAGGGAATGGGAGGGGGCATGGGGGTAGGAAAGATGGTGGAATGAGATGGACATCATTACCCTAGTACATGTATGAAGACACGAATGGTGTGACTCTAATTTGTATACAACCAGAGATATGAAAAATTGTGTTCTGTATGTATAATATGAATTGTAATGCATTCTGCTGTCATATATAACAAATTAGAATTTAAAAAAATATACTTTGCTGCCATGTATACCTAGAAAGAACTAATAAACCTGAAACAAACAAACAAATAAAAACACCAACATTGGGGGGAAAAAGACTTCATCCTGAGGATCCCGGGAATGTATGTAGCCCAGTAGTAGTGAGCACTTGCCTGGCATGTGTGAGGCCCTGGGTTCAATCCCCAACCAAAAAAAGAAAAAGAGAGAGAGACTTCAATTGATGTGAGCAAAAATTTGGTTTCTTTCATACAGAAAAATTGTCATAGATTTCATTATTACCTGTTTTATTAAAGTGTCAAGCATTTTGTACTTTTCAGAATTTATGATTTTATATATAATTATTAGCATTTATACTTGGATATTTTGCTCTGAAGGTATTTTTTAGTGCCATGTATTATTTATTTCCAATAGCATTAAACTAGATCTCCTCCAGCAAAAAGAGATGAGTTTATTTCAAAAGAAGCTCAGAGAGGGCTGGGGTTGTGGCTCAGTGGTTGAGCGCTTGCCTCACACATGTGAGGCACTGGGTTCAATCCTCAGCACCACACACACAAAAATAAACAAAATAAAGATATTTTTTTAAAAAAAGAAGCTCAGAGAAATAAAATGAATGTCCATTCTAAATGAGACCTGCACAAAATATTTAGTATTAGGGGCTGAGGCTGTGGCTCAGCAGTAGAGTGCTCGCCCAGCATGCGAGAGGCCCTGGGTTCAATCCTCAGCACCACATTAAAAAAAGTAAATAAATAAACAAATAAAATAAAGATATTAAAAAATATATTTAATATTAAACCAATAAAGAGCTATCAGTTATATAAAAATGTCTTCTTAATTTTCTACAAAGCTATAATCATTCATTAAGTGAGTAAATATTTACTAAACACTATTATTTGGTAGGTGCTAAGAGTGAAAATATCCTAATCCTGTTTTTACAGATCTTGGTCTAGTAGCCCAGGTCATATACAAATAAACAATTCATTTGCAACACTGAGTACTGAGTGTTGTTCTGTAGTGGAAATGTATACTAAGAACATTTGAAGCAATGAGTAATTAATTGATTATGCTTAGAGGGACTAGGGAACTTCTTTCTTTTGTGTGTGCACGTGTGGGGGATTGAAGCCAGACCCTTGAGCATGTTAAGCAGGCTCTACCACTGAGCCGCATCCCCAGTTCCAAATGGAGAATTTCTTGATGTTCACAAACAAGTGAAAAAAAAATTAATTTCCCAAGCAAAGCTTCCCTAATCTCTTAATGAACAAAAATTAAGTTCTCAGTGGCTTCCCAACATACCAGGACCACTCCCCTTAGGCTGCAATCACATAAAAACTTATGAATTTCATGCACAGAAGACAGACTTTCAATTCTGGAAATTAAGCAGAGGTGTCCTTTGGGAGTAGTTGAGGTTTGGGTAATAAGATCTGTAAGACCTATAGTCTGCTCCTGTGCAACTTGACATTGTCTCTGTTGCAGGAGGTCTTTGGAGCTGGAGCACCTTTTTTATATCTCTCTCTTCCTCTTTTCTTGTGGTGCTAGGGATTGACCCCAGGACCTTCCTCTGGCTAGGCAAGTGTTCTTCCATTGAGCTACATCCCAACCCTAACCCCACACACCCCTTTTATTTTTTTTCTTTCTATTTAAAAATTTTTATCTTGAGACAGGGCCTTGCTAAGCTGCCCAGGCTGGACTCTAACTTGCAACCTGCAGTCCTCCTACCTCAGCCTCCCTGGTGGCATGTGCCACAACATCCAGCTCACCTTTACTTATTTTTTTAATGTGTCTTTTTTTGTGAATAAATTAACTGCAGTTGTAACAAACCAAACAATGAAATGACAGAAGATCCCTCAGTGTAAGAGAAGGAGGTTTGGTGTGTGGGCTTGAAGGAAGACAGGTCCTGGGTTCAAATTCAAAGTCTACTTAATGTTACGCTGACAAATTAATTGTTTGCTCCTATCTTCAGTTTTCTCTTCTGTAAAATGGATTTCCTGATAAAATGACTATGAAAGTTAAATAGCACAATGCTTGAAAACTACCAAGACTGTGCTTGGCACTCTCACATGGGGACTGCTGTGATCCCCACAGGGTCATGCTGATGGTGGTGGTGATAAGATGGGTCATGATGAGATGATACGCTTTGTTTTATTGTTATCATTACTATTACAGTGCTTCAATAACAGAAATAATGTTTTCTTTTTCTAGACACCTCCAAAAGAAACATTTATAGTTGCGGATGTTGGGTCACTTTCAAGCAGTTCTCCAGAGCAGAAGCAGTGCCCTTCATCGACCTTTCGTCCTTCCACCTCTTTAAGAAAGAAGAATAACCTAGGGGAGAAAGAGCTGCCCCCTTGGAGGTCCTCTGATAAGCATCCAACTGATATCATTCGGTTTAACTATCTGGACAACTGCAACCCCCTCCAGCCAGGGCAAGGGTAAGGAACTCTCCTTGGTACTTAGGTATTTTAAAAGATGAGAATAGAACTTACTGTGAAATACCAAAGCTTTCCAATACATTGGAGCAAGAGGTCATTGGAAAAGTAAACTATCCATCGTTTGCACATTTGCCCTGTTCATGGTGGTTCTTTGCATCTTGTTGCTGTAACAACCTCACCCTGCAGCCTTTTCATGTTTCAATGTTAAATTGCAAGCCAGCACCTTGGGGCGCATTCTAGCCTCCCCCTTCTCACCCTGGTATTTCCCTTCTGCCACAGCCAGTGGGTAAATGAGAGGGAGGTACTCACTTGTGTAACATAAGGTAAACTGAGTCAGCTTGGTTGTGATCTCTGCGACTCAGGAGGCAGAGGCAGGAGGATCGCAAGTTCTAGGCCTGCCTGAGCAATTTAGCGATACCCTGTCTCAAAATAAAAAAATTGTAAAAGGGGCTGGAGGTGTCCATTGCCACATATACACACACAAAAACAAAACAAAAGTTAGGAAATTTTTTTGAAAATTAAGTGGCAGGAAATATTCGGGCAAAGGCAATGTTTATTTATTTATTTATGTTTGGTCCTTGGGATTGAACCTGGGGCACTCAAACACTGAGCCACGCCCTCAGCCCTTTTTTATTTTGAGGCAAGTTCTCACTGAGTTGCTTAGAGCCTCACTAAGTTGCTGAGGCTCGCTCTGAACTGGTGATCCTTGTGCCTCAGCCTCCCAAACCCTGGGATTATAGGTGTGCACCATTGCAATATATACACAAGTAGAGAGAAGAGAAAACAAACCCCTGCAACCAATGTCTAGCATGAGCAGTTTTCAACTCTGGTGCACTCTGGTTTCACTTGTTCCTTGCCCACTCTGCTCCTCCCATGGGTTATTTTTGAGACAAATCTTAAGTCATATGGTTTCATCCATCCTGTTATAGAAATCAGGCCTTTTGTCCTGTAGAGCTTCTCACATTCTGGGTTTTGGGGATTTCACTGCCACTGTGCTACTTAACGTGTCCTCTGTCCTCTGTGGTTGGCCATGATGGTCAGGAGTGTAACTTCCCATTCTTGTGTTGTACTCGGTGCAGAGTGACACTGGTCATGTATTCACACATGAACATGGGAAAGTGATGTCATTCTACTGTCTTTCCCATTCCCATCTCTCTCCCTTCCCCCACTCTGCCCTGACCAATCGGTGAACACCCCCCCACCCCACCTATGGTGAGTCAGCATCTGCATGATCAGAGAGAACATCTGGCCTTTGTCAACTCTGCTCTTATAACCTAAAAACAGTCATAGACGATACAAAAAAAGAAGCATGGCTATGTGCCAATAAAACTTTGTTTACAGAAATGGGAAGCAGACTGGATTTGGCCTGTGGGCTGCGGTTTGACAACCTCTGCTTCATCCTCATGTGTGTGGTACTTTTAGAAACCAGTGCTAATAATAATACTAACAGTGTGAATACTGAAAACAGTTTATGATTTCCTTGCCTGTGTTTTTGTCTTTAGTATACACTCTACTAAGAATACTCAGACAGATGACTGTGTTAAAGTCCCATGAAATAACTCTGTGTGTGTGGTAATGCCATCGACCTCATGGGCAAGATCATTTGTTTCTTTTTTTTTTTTAATAAATCTTAGGGATTTTTTTCCCGTTCACTTTTGCTCATAAATTTGAGAAAAATTTAGATGGTTCCAACCTTAAATATGCAAAATAAGATATAAATGACATAGTTTAGTTTCTGTCCCTGTTTTCCATATTCCCTGTTCCTGATCAGTTGACATGAGAATCCTACTTATAGCTAGAAATTTTTAAAAAATTTTATAGTTTGATTCTTCCATTAACAAAGTACAAGCAAAATATTAATAATAATAATAACTTTAAGAATAGAGGCTGGGGCTGTAGCTTAGTGGCAGAGTCACTGAGTGGCAGAGTCCTTGCCCAGCATGTGTAAGGCACTGTTAGATCCTCAGCAGCACCACATTAAAATAAATAAAATAAAAGTATTCTGTCCATCTACATCAACAACAAAACATTTTCTTTAATCTTAAAAAATAAAAAGCATAATAAGCAAATAGATAACATACACACTTATTTTCATATATCTCCTTTCTGAAATGAATGGTAGCATACAATACATTCACCTTTCTTTTTTTTAATTTTTGTTTTTTAGTTGTTGATAGACCTTTATTTTATTTATTTATATACAGTGCTGAGAACCGAACCCAGCACCCCACACATACCAGGCAAGTGTGCTACCACTAAGCCACAGCCACAGCCCTTACATTCACCTTTCTTTATTCACTTTTCTTTGTTCAGGTAACACTGTATCCTGGCAGTCATTCTACAGTTGTATATAGAAATATTCTGCTTCCGTTTGATAGCTCATAGTACTCCATTGTGTGGGTATGCCAACCTTCATTCACCCCCTTCTCTGTTGATAGACGTGTGGCTTGCTTCCAGTGGAGTGCAGACAACCTTTGAAATCATAGGGACAATGAAATCAAATAGCTCTATGGACCGCCAAAGTTTTAAAATATTAATTTATAATGTTCCCACTGCTTTCCAATTTACAGAAGAAAGAAAAGAAATGAAATGATCCCAGATTTTAGCCGACAGTCACAGGATAAGAAAAATAAATTGCAGGACAGAGCTAGGCCAAGAAAAGCACATTTCCTGGTAAGTATTGCTTAGAAAAGATTCACCGCCACAATGTTATGAAAATTGCTGGATTCTAATCCTGTTTGTGACATTGAATTTGTTTTTAAGTCAGAATTGTCAGGGGGCTGTTTCAATCCTGGTCTCTGACACAAACCCACATTCTAGCTATTAGACCTTGAAGATATATGTAATCTTTCTATCTTCTCCTCTGTTTTTTTGTCTTTTATTTAAAGAGGCTGATGCGTGTGAAAATGCTTTGCGAAATGTGCAGGAGTGTATTATTGTTGGTCCTTTCTTCTGCCATGAGTTCTTGGGGGCAGGGAGCAGGGGGCCACCAGAAATTGCTGCTTTCTAGAGTGAAAGTCCCCTGACCTGAGAGAAAGCTATGCTTTACATAGCTCTCCTGGTGCCAGCAGGGCTTGGTTATGGAAGTACATTTAAAGTTACTCCTCTAGCAACTCCGGAGGCCAAGGCAGGAGGGTCTCGAGTTCTAAGCCAGTCTACAGTTGAGTGAGAACCTGTCTCAAAATAAAATAAAAAGAACTGGTATTGGGAGGGGCACATGCCTATAATCCCAGAGACTCCAGGGTCTGAGGCAGGAGCATCATAAAGTCAAGGCCAGCCTCAGCAACTTAGGGAAGCCCTTAGCAACTTAGCAAGACCGCTCAAAAAATAAAGAGGGCTGGGGATGTAGCTCAGTGGTTAAGGGCCCCTGGGTTCAATCCCTTGTAACCACTCCCACCGCTGGCGAAATAGAACTGGTGATGTAGCTCAAAGATAGAATGCTTTTGGGTTTGATCCTCCCAGTACATACATAAATAAAATAACTCCAGAAAAAATAAGTTAATAAGTTTTGTTTTCTCTCTAAAGAAAAAAATAGCTCATCGACTACCCTAATCAAGTCAGCAATTGTGATTAAGGGGTATGATTGATTCACTGCAAACCTCCCCAAACTGCAGTTCTGAACCCTAATGGATCCCTTTTAGCACATCATAAGAGTTTTTGGAGCAAAGTAGAAGGAAGCATGCAATAAAAAGTTCTCATACAGTAGTTAAGATTTAGGGAAAAGCAGAGAATGCACACTCAAGGAAAATCAATATAAAGTGATGTCAGTGTGGAGACTAGTGTGCATGTACTCATGAATAAATCTCTTTTAGAGCTCTGCTTTAAAGCCCTATTACTTTTTGTTTAAATGTTTTTTAAGTATTATGTCAAAAAAAAATAAGAGAGAGAGAGAGAGAGAGAGAGAGAGAGAGAGAGAGAGAGAGAAACTTCTTAAAATATATCAGTCTGTATTCTGAAGGGCCCATTTTGTTGGACTGGCGGAACCTTATCGCAGATAGGATGCCCAAGGGATTTGGGAAGTTAGAGCAAAGCAATAAAAATGTCGATGAAACCATTAATTGAGACAAATAACTTTATGAGGCTTATCACACAGGCCATTACAAAGCACTTCTGCCTGGCCTCTACCCCTGTTAAACACGGAGCAGGAGACAAGTCCAGGAAAACAGAATGTGAAGGACAATAAGAGTTGATGGTGGGCCTGGGGTGGTGGCTCAGTGGTGGAGCGCTCGCCTAGCATGCTCGAGGCACTGGGTTCCATCCTCAGCACCACATAAATGTAAAATAAAGATATCGTGTACACCTAAAACTAAAAAATAAATATATATTTTTTAAAGTTGATGGTGATGCATGCTTACAAATCATCAGCACAGACAAACCATTCTCCTGCTTCAAGAACAAACACCAGGGCTGGGGATGTGGCTCAAGCGGTAGCGCGCTCGCCTGGCGTGTGTGCGGCCCGGGTTCGATCCTCAGAACCACATACAAACAAAGATGTTGTGTCCGCCGAAAACTAAAAAATAAATGTTAAAATTCTCTCTCTCTCTCTCTCTCCTCTCTCTCTCTCTCTCTCCTCTCTCTCTCTCTAAAAAAAAAAAAGAACAAACACCAAAGGCCAACCAGAAGCCATCCCCGTGGGCTCTTGACATTAACCCTCTGTCAAGCACTAGCAGATTGCTTAAGTTAAAATGTTCATATAAATTAAAAAGTGAAAAGTTGTGCTAATGAGACTGAAAAGGAAACCAGGGTAAATGAAACCAAGAGAGAGAACAATCTGCTGTTCGTAAAGGAAGTGCATGATTGTATCCATCTACTTGCTTTGTTTTTGTAAATATGCTAATTTTAACATCATGATATATTTAGGAGTGTTGATAAAGAGCATAAGACAGAATGGAATCCCCCAGAAGCATGCCATGATCTTTGGCTCATGTCTGTGCCACGCTTGCCTGTGACAAGTCTCATGTTCAGGCTGCCGGGCTGCGCTGCGTGTGGCTCAGCCCCTCCTCCACAGGGTGGCCGCTGGTCCCCACCAAGGCTGCAGAGCTCCGAGGAGACAAGCAGCCTGGGCCAGGCAAGAGGACTGTGAAATAAGGAAATGCTGCCTGTGGGCCTGGGGCAAGAGGAAAGGGGCATTGAGGAAATCCAGCGTGGGGTCCTAAGGACACCAGGGAGTAGAGTGTGGAGGCCACTCACTGTGGTAGACACAGCCCAGGTGTGAGTCCAATGGATAAGCTCATGAATGTGATAGAAGGCTCCCACAGAATTGTGACAGGTTTATGGAGGAAGATCTCAGGAGGAACTAGAGAAACAGCTGTGCTAAAGGCAGGGATGAGAGTGACGTGTCCCCAAGCCCTGGCCAGGAGATTATCTGAGATCAGACACTTGAAAACTCCTTGCACCTGTCATGGGAAAAAGGTGTGTGTGATAGGTGGAGAAGATAAGGCTTTGTCAAATGGAAAGGTCTGGAAGAGAAGAAAGCACCCAAGCATAAAAGAGTACAAAGAATATTCCTTAAGCCATCTCCCCGGGGCCACAGCTGTCATCTTCCCTTTTCGCCTATCATTACTTAGAGCCTGCAGATAGGAGGGTCTGTCTAAAAGGAAATGCCCTCAGGGAAACGGTTTCCAGTGTGCACACACTGCTGTGAGCTTGCATGGAGCACATTATTTAATAGGTGTGAGTTTGAAAGGGCAGCTGATTTTCTCTTCTGCTCTCAATTCTAGACAAGATCCCCAGGGGCTGCCGTGCTTACAACCGCCCCACCTAACCACTTTTTTTGTGTGAATGATTGGCAAAAAATGGGAATAAAGCTTAGATTGGATTGCTATTGCTTTTGGATTTCTAAGACTTCTTATAAAAGTTGTATAATCTGCATTACTATGAATTCTGATGATACAATTCCATACAAAACAGGACAATTAAAAAGGAGTACTATCTTCTTTTAAACCTCAAAGATTTCAGTCTTGTGTAAAGACACACAGTGCACATGCCGATTTTTAAAAATCTTAACAGCTGGCTCCGTAGTTCCACTTAGGGAAGGAGGGAACTGTCTCCTTGGGGGAGGACTTTGATGAGCTTGCAGGGAGCCTGAGCCCTTGATAGCAGGGTCCAGGTCTCTGCAGGGGAAGAATCTGTAGTTTGTTGTTTCTGCTCAGGGAAGGGAAGGAGGAGGAGAGGCAGTGGGGAGGAGAGAGGTAAAAGGAGGAGAGAGGAGAGAAGCTGGTTAGGCAGGGGAAGGGGCCAGGACAGTAGTGACTCAACCAGTTCCAAATGAGTTTGTCTTTCGTTACTGGAATGTTAACACCCCCTTACCTCCTTATAGGGAATTCTTCTGGTTTACACATGGACATGAAAACCAAAGCCCCTTGGGACAAGTCACAGAGACCCAGGAGGTGGACTCTGAGTTTCCTGGGTCCTGGGACGGGACGGGGAGCCAGCTCACACCTTGCTTTGCTTCTTTGGTTCTTTCCATGTCAAATATAAAAACAAGAATCTTTTGCCTCACCCTGGACTTTTCCTTGGGAGTTAGAAGCCTGCACTTTCTGGGTCCTGATTTGACTGTGGCTTTCAGAAAGCTTGCTGCTTCACAGCCTTGTAAACCTCCGACCCAAATAACAAAAGCCTTTAATTGCCTGCTTACTTTAATTGCCTTAGATAAGACGGTATCTTTTCCTGGGCGCTGCTAATTCCAGCCTCTGTAATTACCTTCTTCACCTCTTTCCAGGATCACTTTACTCTAGGTGTTTTGATTTTTTTTTTTTTTTTTATGCTTCAATTCAGGCTCTCTCGGTCTTTTTTTCCTCACTGGTTCAAATAGGAGAAAAAAGGAATGAATTCTAAAGAGATTCCTGGATCATGGGGTAGAAAGAGTGGGGAACCCAGAGCCTGTCTGGACTCTACTGCTAACTAACTAGCAGTCACTCAACCTCCTGGAGCTTTCCTCTTCACAGTTATAAAATGAGAGTTCCAGTTACAACCCTTTAAAAGTCCATTCCACTGGGGTACCAGGGCACACACCTGTAATCCCAGTGACTCAGAGGCTGAAGCAGGAGGATAGTGAGTTCGAGGCCAGCCTCAGCAACTTAGCACAGGCCCTGTCTCAAAATAAAAAAAAAAAAAATAAGAAGGGTTGGGGATGTAGCTCAGTGGTAGAGCACCCCTGGGTTCAACTCCAGTACTGCAAACATAAACAAATAAATAAATATAAAAATAAATAAAGTCCATCCCAGGCTTAAGGCTGGGCTTATGGATCCCCTAGGTCCCCACTGTGTTCACTCCTCCCTCTCTTTACCTGGAAGACTCCACTGTGATCAAAGTGACTTTCCATAGAATCCTAAAGACAGTTCATCCCCTTTGTGAATCCTAATTTTAAGTCAATAACAATTATTTTCTGTCTCCCATCTCTTTCTTTGAACCTTAGAGAATATGATTAGCTAAAACCAAAGGAATGGGGCTGGGATGTGGCTCAAGCGGTAGCGCGCTCGCCTAGCATGCGTGCGGCCCAGGTTCGATCCTCAGTACCACATACAAACAAAGATGTTGTGTCTGCCGATAACTAAAAAATAAATATTAAAATTTAAAAAAAATAATAAAAAATAAAATAAAATAAAACCAAAGGATTTACCAGAATTTTTACAGCAATTTAAAAATTTTTTTTTTTTTAGTTGTAGATGGAC